GGGAGTCAGTGTGGACTTGGTGGGCCGAAGGGCCTTTTTCTACACTGCAGGGATTCTATGATTGTCTATTATGATGATACACAGGAAGAAACTTTTCTCCTTGGTGGAGGGATTAATGACCAGGGGGCATGGATTTATGGTAAGGGGCAGGAGATTTAGAGGAGATGTGTGGAAAAGCTCTTCAACCAGATGGTGGTGGGAATGTGGAACTCACTGAGTAAGGGTGGTAGAGGCAGAAACTCTGATAACATTTAACAAGTGTTATATGTACACTTGCAATGCCATGCAATGGGCCAAGAGTCGGATAATAGGATCAGAATAGTTAGGTGATTGTTTTTGACCAGCACGGATGCAATAGGCCAAAGGGCCCTTTTCAGTGCTGTAGACCTCCATGACTCTATGATGCTTCTAGAGTGCCTTAGAAAACTATATCACCAAATCACTAGAAGACTCTGTCATAAACTCTTTCAGCTTTAGAACAAAAACATTTTACCTCTCTGATGTTTATCACTAAACAGCATTCCATGGGATACACTTTAGAAACCACATCAATTGAGTTTAATTGCACAGAAGTTCCACCATTAGCTACTCAAGAAACACCTGCATCCTCAACACTTTAATATTTTTGCATTATAGATATTTCAAATCAACCTGTTCAGATGTGCTGTAACACATCTTTGAAGCAGGTGAGACTTGAACATGGGCCTTCTAGTCAGGACACTGCCACTGCACTGCAAGAACCCCATTCTTTAAATTCTCTATTTGAAAGCCTCTATTACTGAGAATCGTAGCCCAACCTTGTCAGATGATCTGAGACAACGATTGTGAGCCATACAGACATGAAAAATACATCTTCAAATCACTTAACCCTCAAACTAGTGCACTGCTAATGTTGCTCCTTTATATTAAAAATCCCTGAGGATTTTTTGTGCTTCATCTATCTCTGAGACCTCTTTAGAAACTCTTTCAATATCTGCACATTTATCTTCAGACCCTTAAAATAATACCACATTTTACTTTACATCCAGTAAATCTCTGTGTCTGCAATAAAGTAGATTCACTGACTAGTGCTGAATAAATAACCTTCTCTAAACTCAGATTCACAAATGTCAACTGTACAAGTAACATTACACCTCCTCACTAGCTCTATCTTCCAATGAAGCAGCAATTACTTCATTTGCTGTGACCTTTCTAACTGGTATTAGACAAATTAGAGATAACAAGGTGTAGAGCTGGATGAACACAGAAAATGTTTTTCTGAAGAAGGGTCTAGGCCCGAAACATCAGCTTTCCTGCTCCTCTGATGCTGCTTGGCCTGCTGTGTTCATCCAGCTCTACACCTTGTTATCTCAAATTCTCCAGCGTCTGCAGTTCCTACTATTTCTTAGACAAATTAGATCATGTTTATATCATATAATTAGTAATGTATGTGACAACTGTAGTATTTGATAAGTTCTCTTTATTGTAATAAACAATTTGAGTAGGACACAGTATCCATCTTTCTTAGGGGTCTACTTATTCAACAAATTCCATAATTGACCTTTCATGTCTTGCACAAAAGTCATGATACATCCTGTTATTGCCCACAAATTCAGTCCCTCAACAAAAGCAACAAGCAGTGACTTCAACTGCCCCAGAATCTGAGGAAATAAGCCACTTAACTTATTCACTGTTCCATCCATTATCAGAACAAAATGTTCAAAGAGGCCACTCGCAATTTCGCCAGATATGTCAAACAGTTCAGTTCACAGAAGTAGGTCATATATAATTAAATCTCCACTCAAATGGCTCACTTGTTCCCAATTAATAGCATTTTAAATCTGTAAAGTTACTCATCATTCCTATGTCTCAAAAGGTCAAAAACAAATTATCCTAATGATTTCTCAAAAATATTTTAACTCTCAAATCTAACTTTTCAGAAAAACCCCATTTCCCTTTTTCTGCTGCATCACAAACATTGTACTCACAAACTTCTGGCATCACATTAAGAAAACGTTGTCCTTACTTTTAACAATTGTGCACATAAGACATTCAAAAACTTCAATACACACCACAGTCAAAATTAACATTTGGAGAAACTATAGCAAGATCGTTTGCTAAAATGTTTCACAGCAGTAAAATTTGTCTGTGGCTTATTGGTTAGCACTGCTGCCTCACAGCGCAAAAAACCCTGGTTCGATTTCAGCCTCGGGGAACTCTGTCTGATGTTTGCATGTTCTCCCTGTGTCTGCATAGGATTCCTTCCAACAGTCTGAAAATGTGCATGTTAGGTGGATTTGCCATGCTAAATAGTCCGTAGTGTCCAGGGATGTGTAGGCTAGGTAGGTTAGCCATGGTAAATATGGGGATAGAATAGGGGTGTGGGCGGGATGCTATTTAGAGGCTTGGTGCAGACTCAATGAACCAATGGCCTCTATCTGTGCTGTAGGGAATCTACCTGATGTCTTTCTCTCAGGTTCAACAATGGTGCAAATTTTCTCCTCAACCAAACCAAATTCTTACAAAATCCGAAGTCATTCATACTTCTCAAATGCCTGAGTACTCTTTTAGTTCAAAGTCTTCTAAATATTCCAGCACCGATCAGAACACTTTATTGCAAACACATTCATCTGAACCCAACACAGTTCCAATCTGAGATAATAAGAAATGCCAACGCTGGAGTCTGAGATAACATAGTGTGGAGCTGGAGGAACACAGCAGGCCAGGCAGCACCCGTCTTCTGAAGAAGGGTCCCAACCCGAAACATCAGCTTTCCTGCTCCTCTGATGCTGCCTGGCCTGCTGTGTTCCTCCAGCTCCATACTGTGTTATCACAGTTGCAGTCTGTGTATCTTCATCATCTACCAATTTCAACCAGACAAAGCAATTGACCATGATTCCTGTTTCATCCACAGTTATTGAAGCCAATTCAACACAATATGCTACAACTAAAGTCTCTAAAGATTTGACCACGCCATTGAATTCTACAAAAGAAATGACAGCAAATATGTCAGAAGATCAACACCATAATGGTACAACGCCTTATAACACCACAATACCTGAAGGGATGTCTCAACAAAAATTTAAAACAGAATCCAATCCATCATTTACTGATCTGCCATCAATAAGTCAGACTTCAAAAGTAAGCCAGCCAAGCAAACCACAATTATTATCGGCAACTGAGTTTTCAACAGAAAGCCACACAACAATGATCCAAGAGTCAACAATATCTGAGTCTTCAGCCGTAAGCAAAACACAAGTTGCAACACAAGAGTTATTGACAACTGCACCGACATTAGAAAGTTGTTCAACCCCAAAACAAGTATCAACAGCCATTGTGTCTTTATCAGATATCTATCCAACAACCACACAACCACTAACAGTAACACAGTCTTCATCAGAAACTCAGGCAACATCACAAGGTTCATCAATCACCTCTTCACAATCAGGAACTCAGGTTTCATCACAGACCCATTCAACAGAAAAAGAATTGTCACCAATAGCATCGTCCTCAGCAGAAATGCATTCATTCACACAGCCGTCATCAGTGACTCAGTCGACACAACAATCCAAACAAACATCAATAGTCTTATCAATAACTGAGACTTCTTCAGAAACAGATGCAGCTCATAAACAACGATCATTAACAATAGAGACGTCATCAGAAATGTATCCTACAGCAACACCAACATCAGCAGTAGCAAAATCTTCATCAGAGACCCATCTGACAACCACAAAAATTTCATCATTGGAAACGTCCTCATCACAAATCCAATCAACATCACAAAGTTCATTGAAAACTGCTTCCACGTTAGATATGGGTTCAAATGCTGCACAGGTATCATCAATAACTGGCTCTTCAACAGAAACAAGTCAAGCAACTGCACAAGTATCATTGATCACAAATCATTCAGCTGTAACCCAACAAAGTAACACAGTCTCATTGGTAACAAGGTCTCTGTCAGGCAGCCAATCAACAATGTCACAAATATCATCAACAACAGAATCTTCATCTGAATT